GAAGACTTCGTGTGATGTTGATGGCCGTCCATTTGTTAATACATCTGCATCTGAATGTTATGTTTATGTTCCACGTGAAAGAAAATGCCCCAGGTTCTCTGGGAAAAGGGCTATTGATTTGTTGACAATAGAAGATTGGGTTGAAGAAGTACGTAGGTCTTTTGATAGTTCGTCCAGTCCCAGTGCCTGAGAAAGCTTTGTTTGTCTATGATCTTTTAGATGGCGAAGCTAAGGCTGAAGTAAAGTTTCGCCCCTCTAGTGATAGAGATGATCCTGAAAAAATCTTTACAGTCTTACTTGATATGTATGGTTGTTCTCAGTCTTTGGTTGGTTTGCAGAAGCAGTTTTTCCAACGTCGCCAGCTGGAGGGAGAGTCGTTGCGCGAATACTCGCATGTGTATGGGGTTCAGAAGAGTAGGACCACCGCATACCATCCTGAGAGAAATGGGCAGTGTGAAAGGTTTAATCACACCTTGCACGATCTATTGCGTACTCTGCCCATGGAAAATAAAAGGGTATGGCCACAGTTTTTACCACAGTTACTCTTTGCCTATAATACCTCTGCCCATCAATCCACTGGCTACTCCCCTTATGAGCTTATGTTTGGCCAGAAGCCAAGGCTTCCTGTGGATGCCCTTTTAGGGATTGAGGAAGAGAGTATGCCGGCAACAGCTCAAAACTGGGTGGTGAGTCATCGGGACCATTTGGCCTTGGTGTACGTTAAGGCTAGGGAACAGCTGGGAGTGGCAGCAGCCCAGCGCGCACGCCATCATCCAGAGTCTTCAACGGTTGGAGATGGTCTTGGGGCGTCTGAAACAGAATAATTTGAAGTTGAAATTCCAAAAATGCAATTTTTTCCAAAAACAAGTTAGGTATTTTGGTCACATAATTTCCTCCCATTGAGTGTCCACCGACCCAGAGAAAATCAGTGCTGTAGCCAACTGGAAGCGACCCAGCAACCTTTTGGAGTTGTGCTCCTTTTTGGGTTTTGCATCATACTACAGAAGGTTTGTAAAGGGGTTTGCTCGATATGTGGCACCTCTACACAGATTAGTGGGGGAGCTCCAAGGTAAGGGAAAGAAGCGAGGTTCAGGCACTAATACTTTGTTGGAAGGACGATGGACAGAAGTTTTGGAGAATGCCTTTGTGGCTTTGAAGAGGTCGCTGGTAGAGGTCTCAGTGTTAGGCTATGCCGATTTCTCTAAGTCATTTGTGTTAGAGATAGATGCTAGTCAGGTCGGTCTAGGTGCAGTATTGTCTCAAGAACAGGAGGGTCAGCGGAGGCCTATTGCTTATGCTAGTCGGGGCTTGCGCCCTACAGAAAGGAACATGTCAAACTACAGTTCAATGAAACTGGAGCTCTTGGCCCTTAAGTGGGCCATCTCCGAGAAGTTTCGGGAATATTTGCTGGGAGCTAAATTTGTGGTATTTACAGACAACAACCCCTTGAGTTATCTGCAGACATGCTGGCAACAGCTCAAGACTTGGTGGTGAGTCATCGGGACCATTTGGCCTTGGTGTACGTTAAGGCTAGGGAACAGGGAACAGCTGGGAGTGGCAGCAGCCCAGCGCGCACGCCATCATCCAGAGTCTGTGCCTATTTTGCCAGTAGGTACTCTGGTTCTGCGTAAGAATCATTTCCCAGGCCGGCATAAGATCCAAGATGTGTGGGGCTCTAAGGTGTATGAGGTAGTAGAATGCTTGGATGGGGTAGGCACCGTCTATAAGGTAAGACGACAAGACTCAGCGGTGCACGTGAAGAATGCGTACAGGTAGCCCAGGAGGGAGGTTCACCAGCAGCAGCAGCTAGTGAAGATTCGAGTGAGCGGGAGTTGATCCGGTGTTTAACCAAACAGGTCATTGACCCTCTGGATTCCCAGTGTCCAGTGGAGCGGGTATCTGATTTTTCTGACTTTCCTGAACCAGTTCCTGGCCCCCACGATCGGTTAGAACGGGAATTAGAGCAGGAACAGTCAGAATTCTGTTTCCGCCGGTCTGTTAGAACGAGGGCTGGCTTGCATTCAAATCCATTTAAACTTCCAAGGCCGGTGCGATCCCCGGAAGACCAAGTTCCCCCAAATTCAGCGTAAGCGAATTCCCTATATGTTCCTTTTAGACCTTGAGATTGGGATGGGTATGATGGGCATAAGTGTTGTATTCTCCGCTCGGTGAACGAGTGTGTATGTGGTTTGCTCTCCTGTATTGGCGCGTTGGAAGAACTGCTCGTGTGTGTGATTGCTGCTCTCGACAATTTAGCGTGAGTAAATATGCTTTTATGCATAGGAGTTGAATTTAATGATGTTAGTATAATATGCCCGCTAATGTGTTTTAGGATTATTTCCGTGCTGATGACCTGTTGATCCGAAAACGCGGTGTGCGTGCAACTCCGCGGGGTTTCAGCTACCTAATGTGAGTGCATGGCCAAGTTCATTGATAAGTGAAATTGATATGAAATGCGGTGCCATAAATTTAGGATGTGTTATTTTAGGTTCGCTCTTGTGTTCATACTCGGCTGAGTTGCGAGTGTCCATTTGTACAGAATATACTGCATTGCAACCCACTTCTGCCTTTAGTGAGACTGTTACGTCCAGTCATCAAAGTGAGTCATAGCGCAATGTTGGAAGGTACGTGAGTATTTTGTTTGTTTTATGGTGAAATATGGGGGTTTTACGTGCAATAAAAATGTCAATTGGTTTTAATTACAGGTTTTAAATCCTCTCTCGGATTTAGCGGCCACCGTTTCTTTCCCACTAAAATTTGAGATTTATTTATTAGTTGTAGTGTTTGCTTTATATTTAGTTTATTGGGTTTTCATGGTATTATAACTTGTGATTTTATGATATTAATTTTGTTGTGAATTGTTTTACTGATTGGTGTACCACGGTATGGGAGGTCTTATTTTTGGTTTGTGTGATTTTTGTTTGTGTTTCAGGTATGGTTTGAGTGGTTTTGAATAATTTTGGGTTTCTGTTTCCTCCCATGTGGTGTGTTATCCAGTCTATGATTCAGGGTTGATTTGCCTTATCTTGGGTATCATATTCATCATTGGTTTTATACAATGTCATTTAATAGTTTAATTTAAGTTGGTTTACTTTATTTCAGTTTTGTACTTATATCCTTTTTTTTGGAACAATTCTGTCAACCCGGTTATTATTTTAATAACATTATCTATGGAAAAGGATTATATCTGTCATCCTAATAAAGTATTAACCTTTTGTACTCTGGCTTCTAGTTCATTTATTTGAACTATCTGTGTTAAAGATATCATTGTTAGGGTCCCTTACCCTAGACAGTGGGGGTGGCGTAATAAATTTGTCCGACATTCCTAACAGCCATATATTTGAGGTCACATAATGATGGTTGCTTGAATTATTTTTAATGATTACACCAGTTTAGGTATTCACAAACAATAATCTACAGCTAACATACATATTCACATTAATTTCATAATTGTTTTTTTTCTCTTGGAGCAAAGGGAGGAGAGAGGAGAGTCTTGCTCATATATTCTGAAACTGTACTTCTAATACGTGTTCTAAGAGAAACCTAAAAGATAAGGAAATCTTTTGTGTAAGGTACCTTCAATGGAACGAGTCACAGTCTAGACACACCAACACAAAGAGCTTATTTGCACTTGCAAATAAGCATTGAACTTGTTAAGGAATAGGATGTTGGGTTCACTTACTCATTTACACACACACACACACACACACACACACACACGTACAGTATAAATAGAAGGGAGTATGTTACTCATTGATATTTAATTCATTAGTCATATATACCTACTCTTCTTCATTGTGGGCGTACAGTATAGTGACCTTTATTGCATAAAAAGGTGGTCGTATGTACTATTCTTCACTGTGGGTGGTAAAGAATCCCACCCTCATATCTGGTAAGTTGCAGTCTCCCCTTAGCTCGTACAGGAAATGTGTTTGCATGCTTTTGCTCTTGTGGGCTTCTTAGTTTGTACTCTGTGTAGATTCTCTACAGATCACAACTTGAAAAATACGTATGTCTGGTGATCTATTAGAAAAATTACAATACATTTCTGAGTAGAAAAAAAACAACATTATTTTGATATATCATTTCATTTTTAAAGGAATGAAGTGACGTAAACTATTTACTGTAAAGGCCTTATGATGATAACTATGACGATAAATACAACTATATATTTTTATAATAATATGGAAGTTTACATCACCCCTATTAACTATAACGGCACAAAGGAACCTTTATTCTCATCGGTTAAGCCCTCTCCAAACAACCCGAACATTCAAAATGTAAATTCGGTCCGATTTTCAAATGCTATTTGTTTTTTCAGACCAATGTGTAAAAAATAGAAGATGGGTTGAATTAAAATGCAAATTCATTCTCTGACAGTTGGTGCTTATACCCTTGTTACTCCAACAGGCAGTCAAACAGTTAACTTTTCTTTTTTTTTTAAACAGCAGTTTAAATTTTTGTATTTACTATGGTGCTTATCAAACAACACCAACTCATTTTATATAACGGTAGTGACACTGGGCATAAAATGTTAAGTCATTCAGTAGCTGTTAATTATATGAACCACAAAACCACATGGAAATAATAAATAAAAGTTCAGCAATTTTCAAAAACCTCTTCTTTTGTTTAACAAAATAGCACATTGCATATAGACATAGGATTATCCATTGTAGAAGCCATTGTCATTTATTGTGTGGCTTAATACCTGCTACAATGTGCAACATCACTCTCCACATTTATTTATTTATTTCAGTAGGGCAGAAAAGAGAGCTATTAAATTGTTTTGAGAACACTGGTAATTCTTACTGGACTTTTGAGATTCCAGCAAACATTTGCACTATGTGACCCAGAGGTGTCCAAAAGCTCGGACTCCTGCTCCTCACAGACAGTATTTTAAACTGATTTCTTAATACAGAATAGCAAATGAGTGACCATTTTTTCATTGGTCATGTCTCAGTATTCTTTTTTTAAACTTTCTGAGTAAATGATACATTGAATCACCGGAACCGGATTGCCGCATATTCTGAAGGTTCTGGTTCTTGTCGTGCTGTTCTTCTCGGCCCTCTTGACATAGCCTGGTGATTCAAAGAAGCATACACCAGAGCATTCTCTTCTTCTCTTTCTGTGTCAACTGCGTTGTGGCTACCATCTGAAACTCTTCCAGCTGATGATGCTCCTCTGACAGGTGGAGTTTCACAGCCACGATATAAAGCAGAGGTCAGCTGAACAGAGGGGGAATGGGTGTTGTGATGAGGTTTGCTCTGTGGAAGTGAAATCATTAAAAAATCCTTTAAAACCAAAACATTGTTTTCAACAGACAAAATAAACAGTTTCATGGAGTAAAATTAAAATAAAAGATACCTGATTTTTAGTCGTCATATCTTTTCTTGTTGATTTTGTCCCTATGGGAAATTTCACAGGATCATCCAAGGAAACAAGAACTAAAAGCAGAATTTTATTGTAGCTAAATAGAACAGTAAAGTTTTGTTTAAATTAGCAAACCACTCACCTTGGTTTCTGATAATAAGTAATGTTACTGTTATAACTATGACCACCAGCCCTGTTATTCCACTGCAGATGTACACATATGGCCAGAGCCACTTAAGATCATCCTTTTCACCTGAATTCCGATCACCTAATATTGAAGGAATTGAACAAAATAATATATCAATATATCATATCAGAGTTGTTGTCATAGGTCTCATCATAGGTTCATATAAAAACATGAAGATACATTTGTCCAAGCAAAATGTTCCCAGTAATGTCATGAATTGTAATGTTCATGCCCTTACGTGTGTTGCTTTGATTGCGTGACACCTCATTCTCATTTTTATCTAGTGAATATAATAAAGTATTTAAATATTTTAATTCAACAAAATGTCTGAATGCATTTTACCAGTGAATCAACAGATAATGTATCTTACCTGTCACAGTGACATTAATAGTATGGCTTACAGATGTGTCACCTTCTTTACATCTGTAGGAACCTGTATCCTCCATTGAGATGTTCAGAAAAATCAGGAAAGCCACCCATTCATGTTCTGTGATGCTCTTCCATTCAGTTCTTATGTGATGTGAGTAATTTAAAGCTTTACAGTCACTTCCATTGAGTTTGCACCATGAGACTCTTGGGTTCCTGTGACATCCTTGTAGAGTTAAAGTACAGTTTATCTTCAACTCTGTCATAACAGGAGCTCTAAACACTGTGTTTCGTGGCACTCTGATCACTGAAATACAATTCATCTCAGTCCCTAAAAGAATGAAGGAAAACAGGGAAAAAAAATGTAGGTAGACCGAAAAAAGCCTAAAGAGATTTTAAGTAGGTTTGATATTGTCATTGACATCAGCCACTAAAAATCAATCAATCAATCAATCAATCCACAAAACATAAGACCATAATAATTTTCAATCCTGAAAAAGGTAAAGTGAAATCATTGTATTTACATTACAGAGTTTTGAAACAATAACAAGAAGAATGTTTATGCTGTAAACAGTACTATGACTTCACCCTATTTGGCTCGTAATAATTAGTATGTTTTTTTATGTTAATCAGAATTAGATCCACTATTCTGTAACCAAACTTCCCAAACCCAATCCGTAAGTATAATGCAGCACATGAGCTCTATTTTTTTTAGAACATCTACTTGCTGATATTGGCATAAAGACTAAGTCAATGGAATTTCAGTTAATATCATATAATCTAAGATGGGTTAATGATTCAGATGTACACTGTTAAACTTTGCTGTAATTTTACAGTTACTTACCGCAAAAAAGCCCAGTAGTGAGCGTCAGTAACGGGAGCAAAAATGTCCAGAAATGACCCTCTGCTACTCTCGTCGATCAATCAAGATGGCGGAGAAAAAAATGAAGATCTTGTTTTAACCACGGACACAAAAGTTATACCACAATTCATGCTAAAGTATATATATATATATATATATATTTTACTTTCCTTTACCTTTACCAAATTTACCTTTATTTACTTTGTTTTCATATTTGGCGACTTTTTGTGAAAAATGGAGACTTTTGAGAGTGGTTCTAGACAAAGTTTGTTTTCCTCAAAAACTGCCGCTTTCATGAAACTCATTTAATTGTCCTGCAACTGACCAGTATAGTGACTATACAGTATAGTGACTATACTGACCTTTCCAGTATAGATGTGTAGTATTTAAACGAAACAATTATTTTTCGACTTTTTTTTCTGCCAGTTATGGTATATTTTACCCCTCAGTGAAATGAATGCCGTTAAATGTGTGTGATGTCATTTGAAATAGCACGAGCGCTCTCTCTTTATCTCTCTCTCCCGCGCGCGAGATGGGTAGGCCTATATGTCGCACGCTCTCGCTCTCGTAAATGAAACATTTACGCCAGTGCATATACCAGAGAGAAAAAAATATATTAAAGTAAAATTATAATCAATTAATTCAAGAAATAAAATGCATTCTTTATTATGGCTTCTTGTTTGTTAATAGAAGCAAGTATCCTTTTAATTGTATTTCGGCACCCCGGGTTGTCCTACATACTACATCCTACATACAGCACCTTTAAGTTTCATATTAATTTTTTTTTTTTTTTTTACATGTTATTGTATATATTCTCTTCTCTCTTTTTTCAGTGTTGATTGTAATCTGATTTTGTAAGTGATCAATCTAGCAGTCATTCTAGATCTATGATTTATCATGTTCATAACATATAGTGATTAGTCAATAATCACTGACGAAAAATAATGATTCTTCTTTTTCTCTCTTTTGCTTGTTTCAACAGGAGCTAACTACACCCCAAAGGCTATTTTAGGAGCCACAGCACTGAGCATCTTTGGCTTTGTAAGTATGTTTTAACTATCAGACACAGTATGTGACATTAGATTAACTGCAGCTATGACAGAAATGTTTTAATATAATAATAATTAAAGAGATGTTTTGATATATATATATATATACACACACCTGAGATATGCAATGTCTCTCTGATGTTTCCTGTTTTCCTCCCTTTTTCTTGTGTCAGCAGGAGCCAACTACACCCCAGAGACTCTTTTAAGGGCCACCTAGAATCACGGCACCTTTGGCTTTGTAAGTTTTTTTTTTTATTTTTTATACGATCACTCATATGTTGGGCTGGGGATTGATAGAGATTTCATAATTCCATTTGATTCACAAGCTCTTAATTCATTTCTGATCTTGATTCAATTCAGTTTGATTCACAATTATTCTTATTCTCTTATTCTGATTCCAGTTTCCATACGATTTAATTGGATTACAATATTTCTGAGAATTTGATGACAGCCATTTATGTACCTTCATTTAGTATTAATTTTGGTTATAATCCTGTATTCTTCAAGATCGACTCAAAAGCCTGTTTTGCTCTAATATTTGAAAACAATACAAATGTTACAGTAGCTGATACACACTGATATTCCTTGGATCAAGAGCTGTCAAAAAGATACTTTAAAACACTTCCAAAAAAAAAAAAAAAGTTCAAACTTTAAGTTTGAAGGACCATAAATTGACTCTTTAATGTGATTGTACATTCAGGCAATTAATGGAGTTCCCTGACAAGGATGTGCAAAAAAACAATACTGTTTAAACAGTACTATACCGGGAATAACTGCTGTTGCACAAGTTGTTACTTTGTCTGTCCATGAAAAAATTTAGATGAGATAAACTCATGATTATTTCTCACACATTTCCCCTCTGTTTTGTTTCAGATCTGCTGTCAGTGGTTATGGAGGCCATGCAGCCAAGACCAACTAGGATGCTTGTTGCCATATTTCTTTTTGTTGCAATATTGTCATGATCTCTGCTTTGATTTGTTGTTATGAATTCAGTTCTCTATTTTTTTTTTTTCGTAATGTTCCAGAATAAAGCACAATAAATAAGTAAGTAATGAATGTATTTAATAGTGACAGTGAATAAAAAATATACTGTTGTACATGGACTCAGGTCACTTATTTGGAATTTATTCAATTAAATGGCATTCATGTAAAATATTAAAAGGTTTTATAAAATAAATTGTGTAAAATAAATTACAGTAAAATTACTGTAATATTATTATACTGTAAAACTAAGTTACAGTAAGGATATAAGCATATAGTACTGTAAAATTAAGTTGCGGTAAGGGTATTTTACTGTAAAATGAACTTGCGATAAGCTACTATAAAGAGGTAGTTACAGTAACTTACTGGCAATAGTGCTGCCAGTAAGTTACCGCAAAAATACAATAAAAAGCCTAACAGTGTAGGAGGTATTATTACTACTATGCATAATAAAACATGACATTAAAATTATATTACATCGCAGATTGTTTTTTTTTTTTACTACAATAACTAAAACAGTATTCAATTGACTATAACATTTAAAAATTGTATCAAGTTTGTATCAAATGACACAATCAAACAATTCTTCTTTTCATACAAGCTGAACCAAGGCATATCAAAACAGACATTAAATGTGTTTCATATTACTGAGTGGGAAAATAAAGAAATAATCTACTTGAAAAGAAAACAGTTTGTCAGGTGAAAGGTTAAATAGCAATACACAAAACCATACACATACCACAACTGTTGCCATACATATACCACAATGTTCCCTAGAAATCACAATTAACAATATATTACTGACTGACATTAGTATGTAATAGAGCATCAGATCTTAATACTCACCATTTGTCGTGCCGCTGATGCCAAGTGATAGCAGTAGGAGAGAAACGGCAAGGTTACAAATGATCTGGAAGACATAGTAGCCCATGATTAAAAGTTTTTATCAGACAATGTGTGTTCAAAAACTAATTTCCAAAATGATAGCTGTGCACATTGTTTGCCATGAGTATGTGCGTGAATGTGTGTATTGGAAAGACCAAGAGAGAAGTGGAAGTATACTGTAAGATGTAAGTTCCTCTATGATGTCTCTCACCATCTCTGTTTCTCTTTTCTTGTACCTATTAACTTGTATTTTCACCTCCTTGAATCATGGGTGCTTTTCACCTGTGTTGTTTCTCAGCATTTCTTTGTATTTGATAGTCGTCTTTGTGTCTGTATCCGTATCCGTATCTGATGGTTGTTCTTCTTAGTTTGTCTTCTTTCGTCTCTGACAGTGTCAAACCTCATCTAGTGTGCTTGTAGTGGTTTCAGGTTGTCTGAATCTTGTCCAGGTTGGTTGAACCTCTTCACATGTTGAAGAGAAAAAGAATTAAGAAACAGAAAGATCAGTTGAAATGAACTCAGTGACACCTCCTTGTGGATAATGACTGAACACCATTGCAAACTACATCTACTTGCTTGCTTTCTGTTCAGTACAAGGAGGTCTAAATAACTGCATGAAGCTATTTATAAGCATTGCTATTTATTTCATTTATTTCACAGGAATTCGTCAGAAAGACGCAATTAGAAATCTGCCATTTTTTGCTCATGGGGCTTGATAATTTAGCAGGCAGTTTGTTTTGAGCCAGTCACCTTGGATTAGCCTTAAAGTGTGAAATATTTGTAGTTTCCTCTTGTAATACAAAAGAAAACTGCTCAAACTGCCCTATACTGTAAGTAAAGTGTGGTGTGCAGGTTTTGGAATCGGAACACAAATAATAGTTCATATATGAGAGATGTTTTTTTTTTTATAACAGTTTTTTCAGGTCTCCTTGAAGAGAGATGAGTGGCCTTTAAGCATTAACATGCTTTTAATGTCTAGATAGTATTTGGAAGTTATTAGCAATATTACATTTGTATCTTCATTCCAGTCACATTGGATCGCACATAAGCCCAAAGTATACTTTGTCACGTGTACATATACACATGATGTTAATTTTGTCTTCAGCATAGTACAGTTTAAACGCTGTATGTGCAGGTGCAAATGGCCATTGATTTTTTTTGTCTTTCACTGATTGGAACAACAACAGATGCCTGCATTGACAAGCGCCTGTGTGACGGGGTTAAGAGAAAAACCTGCAACCCTACCCATAGGAAAAAATGTATTGCTCAGTGGTTGCTCTTCCTAAGCTCAGGAGACATAGATAAGATTCTCATATATCTCTAATTTTAGTATCAACAGAATTCCTAAAATTCCTTAGGATAAATAGAAGTAGATACAAATGAGACTTGAGAAATATTTGAGAAAAAAAGAGTCAAAACTGAGAATGTGGTGGAAGAAACATAGAATATCTCTTTATTGTCTTGCTGCAATCTCTATCAAGACTCTATTATAGGGATATTTTATTGCTCAGAGTTTGCTCTTTCTAAAATCTGGAGACTTAGTTGTGATTCTCATGTATTTCTCATTTTAGTATCAACAGTGTCTCAGATGTTTCTCCTAAAATTCCTTAGGAGAAATAAAAGTAGACACAACTGAGACATGAGAAATATCTGAAAGAAAGGAGTCCAAAATGAGAATGGACTGTGAGAAACATGGGAGATCTCTTTATTGTCTTGCTGTAATCTCTTTCAAAACCCCGTTATAAAAATGTTTCACAACTAAGAGGTTGCTCTTTCTTTTTTCATTGGGGTTTTTCATCTTTAATGGTCAGAACAGTGGGAGTAGAAACAGGAAATGATTGGACAGGTGAGAAGGGAACAAGAGCAGGAAAGTACCTTTAGCTGGAACTCGAACTCATGCTGTCTGCAGTGCAGTTGTGCCTTCTCATCGATGTGCTGCCCACAAGGCTATGGCTCTGACAGAGGTTACTCTACGCTCAGGATACTAAGGGCTGATTCTCTTATATGTCTCAATGAGATAATCAGCTTTGTCTTAAGATGTCTTCAATTTTATTTTAGGAGAAACGTTAAACTTTTACCAATATTGTAAATACTAAAACTATATAATTTAAATAGTATGAAACATTTCAGAATATCAAGGGTTGCTAGTTTATATTTATCATCAATGCCCAGGCAGCATTGTATATACAGCACATTTTCCAAGACTTATATAAGTGCAAGATGTTTAGTATAAGATCAATACTTTCTTTTTAACAAATGTAACACTAGTGTACATGCCCGGTTCAAATTGGGGTGCTAAGTGCTCAAACACAATCAATAGCACCCTCAGTTAAAGCTGTAATAATAGCATTTCATTGCAAATTTGGCAAACTATCCAGTGCGTTATGGTTTGCGCTCTGGAGATCGGTTTCTATTCAATGTGTTTGTGCAGCGTTGAGCAATCTAGCCAATCACAGAAATTGATTTCTTGAACACAACAGACAGTCAGAGGCTTTAAAGTTAGAATCCACTCACCGCTCAAATCGCCAGAGTTTTTGTTCAGGTGTTGTGTTCAGCACGAATAATCTCATTACAACAAAGTGTAGACGCGATGTAAATAAGAGATTCATTGTGCAGCATTGATAACTTCATTGATTATAATGTAACTTTGTGAGGTTGCGATGAACTAAGATGAGTGATTATAAGGGAGCACTCTTTGTGCCATAGCAATGGACGGCTTATACATATATATATATATATATATATATATAGAGAGAGAGAGAGAGAGAGAGAGAGAGAGAGCATCCTCACTAGTTTAAGAAGCACCTTCAGTGATTTGATTGTGGAGCCAGGCCTGCTAGTCTACCAGTGTTTTTATTATTATTATTATAATATTTTTTTAACATTAAAAAGTTTGTCTTGTACAGCCCATTTTTGCATGCATGTTAATATAGTTAATGCTTTCCTCTGTTAAATTATTGTGCAATAAAACACTGTCTACACAAAACAACTTCAAATATGACAATGCATGTATTGTGTTTGATTAAAATGGTTTGGATAAATGGTATTGAAGCTAACCAGAGGGAATAAAATTAAAAGAGAGAGAGAGAGAGAGAGAGCATCCTCACTAGTTTAAGAAGCACCCTCAGTGATTTGATTGTGGAGCCGGGCCTGTTAGTGTAACAGTGGTTTTTTTTTTTTTTAGCATTAAAAGGTTTGTCTTGTACAGCCCATTTTTGCAGGCATGTAAATATAGGTAATGCTTTCCTCTGTTAAATTATTGTGCAATAAAACACTGTCTACACAAAACAACTTCAAATATGACAATGCATGTATTGTGTTTGATTGAAATGGTGTTGATAAATGACATTGAAGCTAACCAGAGGGGAGAAAAAATAAAATGAAAAGAGATCTCTTTAACATCCCAAATGATTCTGCTAGACAGACATGAGGTTACTTTAACATCAAATGGAGATTTCCCAGAGGAAAGAAAAATCAAAAGTGAGAGCATGTGGCGGCGCTGACCCAGATCCTGCGTAATGACGTCATCATGCCGGATCTGGGTCAGCGCCGGCGCCGCCACACGCTCGCGTCATGGTACTGTCGTGAACGCGTGTCTAAAATGACGCAGTAGAGATGAAAATGTGGAATAAAGTCGTTATTTTTGTTTTCTTTGCGCAAAAAGTATTCTCGTACCTTCGTAACTTTACAGTTGAACCACTGATGTCACATGGACTACTTTGCCAATCATCTTGGTACTTTTCTGGACCTTGAACGTGGTGGTTTACCTTGCTGTCTATGGGAGGGTCAGAGAGCCCTCATATTTCATCAAAAATATCTTAATTTGTGTTCCGAAGATGAACGTAGGTTTTACGGATTTGGAACAACACAAGGGTGAGTAATTAATGACAGCATTTTCATTTTTGGGTGAACTAACCCTTTTAACGTTGGATGCCACCCGCCATAAAACAAGAAGAAGAAGAAGAAGAAGAAGAAGAAGAAGAAGCACACAGCTTTACATAGTTCCTGGGACACTATTTGTCTGTAAGTGACTGAAAGATATTGTTTTCATATTAAGACAGTGTCACTGTTGCTTTCAGAAATGTATAATTTACCTGCCAGTAGTTTATGTTTTGTGTTTAGCTTTTTATTAGTGTATTTGTATACTGATATGTCTGTTTTGTTCTGTATTTTCAGTTTTACAATATAAAAAGGGAAAAAGGAGATTTCAATTAAACCCAGGAAAAGTAACACCTTGAGTCATTATTGGAGTTTCATCCCTCATGTTAGCTGACTGTCTAGCCTTGCAGAGCAACACATCGTGAGGACAATATAGTGAAAAGACAACTAAACAACAGGTTCACGCACAAGAAAATACTGCGCATCATCATTGAGTCTAGAGCAAGAGCTAAGGCTGAAGCAATCCGTGCACAGCTGTCCTTTGCTGAACAAGAAGTGGATGTAATAAAGAAAAAAGCTGATTCAGAAGCAAGTCTATATGTTCTTAAAAGTAGAAAGGCAGTTGCTGTTGCATTAGTGGAGACTGCGGCTTATGAAGAAGCAATTGCAAGTGGAGAGTTATTTGAGGAACCCCAAGTACCCAAACAACCTCTCAGCCCAGCTGAACGGACTAGTGATTATGTGCAAAAGCTCTCACAAGCATGTCTTGAAGACGTCCCACACAAAGTTGAAACACTGGAAAACCTGAGTGAGTGAGTACTCAGAAATACAAAAAGTGGATAGTCACCACGGCTGGCAACCTGCTGACAGCCAGTTCACAGCAAAAACAGATCAAACATGCTTCCAAAGATGGCCACAATATTCAGTAAAGACAGAGAAAGAGCTTCCATATTCTCTGCCAACCAGTTCTGACCTTACAAGACTTCTGATCCGCAAAGAAATGGTAAGCTCTAGTCTGTTAAAGTTTGATGACCATGTTGAAAATTACTGGTCGTGGAAAGCATCTTTTAAGAGTGCTACTAAAGATCTTAAATTGACACCACAAGAAGAACTCGATTTGTTGACAAAATAGATTTGTGGACGGCTTATACATCTCTCTCTCTCTCT